AACGGTGTCAACATTATGCAGTGGCCAGCCCTTAGTCCTGATTTAAACCCAATTGAACATCTTTGGGGTGAAATTCAGAGGAGACTGAATAATGTCATACCAAGGCCGAACACAGCCGATTTATTGCGCCAGGCCTTTCTCAGAGTGTGGTTCAAGGTGCCAATGGCCTTCATCAATCGATAGGTGCACTCCATGCATAGACGCTGTGCTGCAGTTATTGCCGCTCGTGGTGGTCACACTAGATACTGAAGTCAAGAGTCTGAATGGACTGCAAACGTTCACGTAATTGTGCTGAGTTATTCATTGATGTGTCAAGATATTGTACACAAAAATGTTTTGATCCGCTTATTATGTCCATTTCTGTAATGATTTTGATTACAGTGCCTATCTAATTTTGAATTCGTACTGGCCTTTTTTTGCTGCCGAGTATAGTTGAGCGACCACCTGCAATGGACATTCGATGGAAGTTTGCACAACGGGTATAGTGGTGTAGAAGCAATAGTGGTAGTACTAAATGTAGTAGACTGTATCCATCATTTGGAGGGACTAATCCAGTAGTACTGCTACCATCATTTGGAGGGACTAAGGTAGTGCTGTACCATCATTTGGAGGGACTAAGGTAGTACTGTACCATCATTTGGAGGGACTAATCATAGTACTGTACCATCATTTGGAGGGACTAAGGTAGTGCTGTACCATCATTTTGGAGGGACTAATGGTAGTGCTGTACCATCATTTGGAGGGACTAAGGTAGTGCTGTACCATCATTTGGAGGGGACTAATCATAGTGCTGTACCATCATTTGGAGGGACTAAGGTAGTGCTGTACCATCATTTGGAGGGACTAAAGGTAGTAGTACTGGAGGGACTAAGGTACCATCATTTGGAGGGACTAAGGTAGTGCTGTACCATCATTTGGAGGGACTAAGGTAGTGCTGTACCATCATTTGGAGGGACTAAGGTAGTGCTGTACCATCATTTGGAGGGACTAAGGTAGTGCTGTACCATCATTTGGAGGGACTAATATAGTGCTGTACCATCATTTGGAGGGACTAAGGTAGTGCTGTACCATCATTTGGAGGGACTAAGGTAGTGCTGTACCATCATTTGGAGGGACTAATGGTAGTGCTGTACCATCATTTGGAGGGACTTAAGGTAGTGCTGTACCATCATTTGGAGGGACTAAGGTAGTGCTGTACCATCATTTGGAGGGACTAAGGTAGTGCTGTACCATCATTTGGAGGGACTAACGTAGTGCTGTACCATCATTTGGAGGGACTAATGTAGTGCTGTACCATCATTTGGAGGGACTAAGGTAGTGCTGTACCATCATTTGGAGGGACTAATGGTAGTGCTGTACCATCATTTTGGAGGGACTAAGGTAGTGCTGTACCATCATCTGGAGGGACTAAGGTAGTGCTGTACCATCATTTGGAGGGATTAAGGTAGTGCTGTACCATCATTTGGAGGGACTAAGGTAGTGCTGTACCATCATTTGGAGGGACTAAGGTAGTGCTGTACCATCATTTGGAGGGACTAAGGTAGTGCTGTACCATCATTTGGAGGGACTAAGGTAGTGCTGTACCATCATTTGGAGGGACTAAGGTAGTGCTGTACCATCATTTGGAGGGACTAAGGTAGTGCTGTACCATCATTTGGAGGGACTAAGGTAGTGCTGTACCATCATTTGGAGGGACTAAGGTAGTGCTACCATCATTTGGAGGGACTAAGGTAGTGCTGTACCATCATTTGGAGGGACTAAGGTAGTACTGTACCATCATTTGGAGGGATTAAGGTAGTGCTGTACCATCATTTGGAGGGACTAAGGTAGTGCTGTACCATCATTTGGAGGGACTAAGGTAGTACTGTACCATCATTTGGAGGGATTAAGGTAGTGCTGTACCATCATCTGGAGGGACTAAGGTAGTGCTGTACCATCATTTGGAGGGATTAAGGTAGTGCTGTACCATCATCTGGACTGGGACAAAAGGAGTGCTGTACCATCATCAAAAGGAACTAAGGTGTTTTCCAATAATATACATCCATTTTGTGAGACATTTTGTAGTGCAAATGACCATAATGTGGCAAATTCTTAAAGTCAAGAATCATTTAGGGCTTAGGCGACTATAAGGTAGTGCTGTACCATCATTTGGAGGGATTAACAGTAGTGCTGTACCATCATTTGGGACAGTGAACATACAGGATAGTGCTGTACCATCATCTGGGAGGAACTAAGGTAGTTCTGTACCATCATGTGGAGGGACTAGTAGCAGTAGGTAGTACTGTACCACAGTAAGATCGTCTGGAGGAACTAAGGTAGTGCTGTACCATCATCTGGAGGAACTAAGGTAGTTCTGTACCATCATCTGGAGGAACTAAGGTAGTTCTGTACCATCATCTGGAGGGACTAAGGTAGTACTGTACCATCATTTGGAGGGGCTAATGTAATGCTGTACCATCATTTGGAGGGACTAAGGTAGGACTCTACCATCATTTGGAGGGATTAAGGTAGTGCTGTACCATCATTTGGAGGGATTAAGGTAGTGCTGTACCATCATTTGGAGGGACTAAGGTAGTACTGTACCATCATTTGGAGGGATTAAGGTAGTGCTGTACCATCATTTGGAGAGACTAATATAGTGCTGTACCATCATTTGGAGGAATGTAGTGCTGTACCATGATTTGGCTGTTGCAAACTGATTTCTGGTTATTCCAAAAGGGGCCTGGGTGTTTTCCAATAATATACAACCATTAAAACATTTTAGTTAGATATACATTTTATATGACGAGGCGGTACGTTTTAGGTTCGAGTCGGCGGTGTTGGAATGAAGTTTTTTGGGGAGGTCGGCAATACAATTAGAAGGGTCGGTCGGGCGATGAGAAACAAAAAATAAAAATGCTGCCCTTATGTCAGGTGACATTGCACTGGAATAAATAGTCAATGCCGATTTTGCACTGATCTGTTATCAACAAGGTGACATTCCCAATTTGAGCTTTAAACAACATTCGATGCAGACTTTGCACAACAATGACTCTGCAAAAGTTGTTTGACTTGCTAATATACCGTGTGTCACTACGCAGATAAAGGCCGAGGAAAACTGCCCACGTGAGTACGTGTCCTGTTCATTTTAAGATAGTTAAAGTATCCTGGCGTAATCTAAATTCGCGGACATCTATTTTCGCGCACGTATCATTTCCGGGTTCACGCGGTCGCTACACATAAAGGCATGATGTCAGAGTTTGTGTTTGTAAACATGAAGTCGTCTTCGTATATATTCCTGCTGTCACAATTTGGAAATCACAAGCTTCAAATGAGAGTTTTTTATCGAAAGTTTCCTAGCAAACGTATTTTTATGCTTCTGCAGTTAATGCAAAAAACATCTAGACGAAAATGAGCCCTAAAAAATAGTTTTCGTTCATGACAGCACCCATCTACCGGTCGTCTGCATTGGTAACTGTTAACGCCCATTTAAATTGAAAAGGGGCCCCGGGGAGACCAGAGATCAGAACCTGAAATCCCAGGGCTAGGAGGGAGCTGGGTTCAGGGACTGTGGTCGTCTGCATTGGTAACTGTTAACGCTAAAAGGTCATGACCCCAGTAGGTGGGGTGTGGCCCGGGAAAAATAACTATGGAAGCCTATTTCAGACACAATCCTTATAACTTTACAACAAATTTTCATGAAAAGTTACGAAGTAAAAGCAATTATGACGACTTTGTAAGATGAAATCAAATAGTTATAAATTATGAATGACGAAACTGTGCTTGTGTTTGTTCAGTTAATGTCTCCAAAGTGATGAAGAATGTTTTTTTCTTTCATTCAAGATTACAGGAACTTTTACTTGCTTTAAAGCGTTTTGTTTATTAAGATAAACAAAAGTAGACAAATTCTGAACATTTCTTGACAAAAACTTTCTTATCAGCATTGTGAGACATGAACTTCAATATAACATCGTTATCAGCTGTTGGCGTAAACTATTCGCCATACTGTTTGTCCGGATTTTAGCTATCACGAATATTGATGACTGTCGGAAATAGAAAAAAACTGTTATTTCACATTTACATCTACAATTTATGTAGGTAATATGTGAAAGTGTGAAATATTTGTTAAACTAAGTTCGGCCTAACTATAGTCTCAGTGGTAGGGACATAGGAAACGTAAAAATTGGACTTTACTCAGGAGAGATTAGTGCAGAAATGAGCAACTTATTTGGAACAGACCATGGCTTTATGCAAATTAGAGGGCGATGATATTGTATTACAAAGGACACTTTTTAAATACCCATTTTGAAATTAAACGTAGCTTCATTATAAACGATAGCTAACGTAAAAAATAATAATGACCCCTTGTGCCTGTAGGCAGCACGTGCATTTCATGCCAGGTGAGTCTATGGTCCGTCGTCATACATGGCTGAGCGACCTAATTGCCATGTATAGTCTGATCTATTGTTTTCAGCAGCTATTCGTATTTTTTCTAAGTATTGCCCGATTTTACGAGTAAACATGCTTTTCTGGATATCCTATTACGCATCCCACTGAACGCCGATGTGGGTTATTTTGACATATGCTATTTGCAATTGTGTCAATTTTAGGGATACAGAGTAATAGCCTAAAAAACAGTTTTTTTCTATTTCCGACAGTACTTTTTAGTAGTAGTGTGAGTGAATAAGTTTGGTTTTTACGCCGCTTTTAGCAATATTCCAGTCTGACGTCCACATGCACTAGAGTGTTGTGAATCAAACATGGCGCTGGTGTGTTTCAACACCCTTGTTTTTCGCTGTTGTTGATAATGTTTCATTTCACTCAAACTCAACGAAAAGTGAATCAGGTGCTTCACTGCATGTTCCAACATGTCGTTTAAAGAGCCCATTAAGAACACAAAAAGTTGCATTTACCTTAGAGTATAAATGACCTCACCACGTTGACGTTTATATATGACTATCAAATTTTAGGGTGCTCCCATATTTTTTGTTTGTTGTATATAACCAAATGGTTTCTCTTCAGCCAAGAATTCTGATATCGTCGCACAATGGCCAAGAACCTGATCCAGTCGTTCGAGTCAGGCCACGTCTTCAGCAAGCAGCAAAAGAGCGTGCTGATTGTGTACGCCCACCACGAACCCAAATCCTTTAATGGCGCCCTCTTGCGGAAGGCAGTGGAGACTCTGGAAGCAGACGGCCACAGCGTGGAGGTGTCCGACCTGTACGCCATGCACTTTGAGCCAAGGAGTGGAAGGACGGACATCGTCGGTCAGTATCGTATGATGATTACATATATGTTTCAAACGAGTGGGGGATTCTGGATAGGATTTGTATATGCCCAGCAAATACATGTGTGCGTTCGCGTGAGTGGTTATTATTATAGTATTCCCAGAAATAACGTATCTAATACATGTGTTAATGTATCTAATACAATGTATCATGTATCTAATGTATCTAATATGATGATTACATGTATGTTTCAAACTCTGGATAGGAGTATTTGCCAAGCAAATGCGCGTTCGTGTGTCACCACTCGCCCCTTTCTGTAACCTCCAGGAGACCGCCTCCGTGGTGTAGTGGTTAGAGCGTCCGCCCGGAGAGCGGAAGGTCGCGGGTTCGATCCCCGACCGCGTCATACCAAAAGACGTTAAAATATGGTACTTGTTGGTCCCTGTCTGGCGCTCGGCATTAATGGGTACAACAAGGACTGGTCGGCTCGGAGTCAGTATAATGTGTCTGAGTGGGGTATTCATGCTTCACTGCGGCATGGTATCTCAGTGGGCTAGCACTATAAAACCAGCTTCAGTCTGGGCTAGTACAAGCAGTCGCACATACACATACACGCGCATGCACGTCGTCATATGGGCGAAATATTCTCAAGTACGACGTTAAACCCAATTTCACCTCACCGTAACCTCCAGGAAGACTCGTCCCCGTCTCGATGTTTGATAAGTCCGAAAATACGACAAACCAATCAGAACGCGAGTTATGATTGCGGTGCTTTGATAAAAATAATTCCCAGTACTTAAATTGTTTATGGCATTATGGCATTGTTTAAAAAATCATAAAAAATTAGATATCGTCATATTGAAAGTACAAAGAACGTAGGTTACAGAATTGTGCTGCATAATGTGAAGTTTTTTATAAGTATAAAGCGATGGATGATGAGAGATATTTTGTTGTCGTTGGTATTTTCTTCAGCGAATTCATTTTAAAATTCCACCAGGGGTATGACAAAAAGGTCACACGAATGTTCAGTTTGAGAAATAGAATATGTCTTTTACAAATGTTTTCTCCTTCTTATAGTTGCATCAAAGAGGTTTAATTCTTTAAAATAAATAAATAAAAACAGAAACAGCAATACAATGTACGAGTTCTTCGGTGATATTAAGGAATTGACATTGGAATCAAACAGGAATGGAGTTATCGCTCTTGTTTAAAGTAGTTCTTATGTTCATGCGCCAATATGAAATCCTTTCAGGGGGGCAATAGTCGCTATTCGGCTTGTCCAGGAATAATCACGAATGATACTCTGCATCAATGTCTGGAGAGGTGCTGAGGTCTTTTCAGATTTCAGTTCATGACAATCCAGATGGTGCTGAGGTCTTTTTAGCTTTCAATTCATGGAAATCCGGATTGAGCTGAGGTCTGTTTAGCTTTCCTAATGGACTGATGAACATGTTAGTCAAAAGTGATTTTGCTAACTTTAAAGAGAGATAACACATGTAATCCTGAATCAGTTGCGGTCAGATTTCACAGTATAAACGTTCAAATATCTGTTAACGTGTTTAGCTTATAAAAAGTCCAATAAGTGAAGGCGTGCGTTTCCAGTTGCTCGTTGTCTTCGGTGTCTGTTCTGGCCACCATCAGCCCCCAAAACTGCCCTGCGCCGTCTCGGAATGCACTGACTTATATAAGTCTTTGAATTAGACCTTGTGTAATTCTGGCCCATTCCTCCAGCAATGCCTGCGACAGTTGAGCTAACGTCTGTGGCTTCTGTTGACGTTCACGGCCGAGGTCATCCCACAAATGCTCGATTGCGTTAAGGTCGGGCGATTTGGAAGGCCATGGAAGCACTGTTATGTTCTCATTCTGATGATACTGAATAGTGGCATGTGCTGTGTGAGGCCTGGCATTATCTTGCTGAAACAACTCCCTCTGGCGGTCAATGATCGGAACTATGTGAATGCTCAAGATTTCGTATCTGTACCGAATACAGAATAAATTTCCCTGAGGGCGCACAAAGTTAGATTTCTGCATTTAGGATATGGCTCCTCACATCATGATACACTCCCACCACCATATCGGTCAACCTGGGCGACACAATTCTGGCCATAACGTAAACTCCGACGTCGATAGGCACGTACTCTTCCGTCACGGCACTGAAAACATGATTCGTCAATGAACCGTATATGCGTCGACAAATTTGTAGATTTCAGAATCCGACGTTATTGCACCACTCAACCTGTTGACGTCGATGTAGTTGTCGCAGCACAGGGCCAAAATAGGGTCTTCTGGTTCAGTCCAGCTTGTTGTAAACGATTACTAATTTTTCGCGCCGACACTCTCCTCAAACCAGGGACTGAACTTTAGGTTGCAGTTGCTGTGACTGTTCGATTCCGCAAATGAAGTACTCGGGTGTAGGTCTCCTGCGCTGCAGTGGTAATCCGAGGTCTACGGCATCGAGGCCGATCTTGCATAGACTTGGTTTGTTGATATCGATCCCATAAACGTCTGATGGTACTCTGGTGAACATTGAGGTGACGTGCAACGGCACATTTACACTCCCCAGCCTCCAGACGTCCAATGGCATTGTTTGATTTACAGCAGTGGGTCGCGGCGTAACGATATTCTTTCATTTAGCTAACCAATGCCAATGACCGTCTGAAAGCAATACGACCTTATACAGGCAATGTCCCTGCTCACGATTCCACAGAACTGCACGTGCATATTTCATACTACTTTTTCTCCGTAAACGTGCATTAAAGTTTCCGAAGATGCGTTTTCGTGCTGTGCATTCGTCCCATGTAAACAAACCAGCATTATAATGGCGGACTTATAACATACAGTCACTAATTTTTTAAATATTTGTAATATCCAGTCTAAGTAAACTTAGGCTCAGTATTATTCGTTACAAAACCTTGTAGAAGGTCGCGTCAGCTAACCTTTGAGCGACCCATGACCGTCCAATCAAACGCGAGACGGCCGAACGGATTTAACCAATCAGACAACGACTACTTGTTAGGGTTCGGCGGGACTTACAAAACGGTTTTTTGGATTTTCTCTCCCCTGGTCGCTGACACTGATCTATCAACAAACGAAAATCCGCATAAAACACAGATATTTGACGTGCAGTATATACGCTTATGGGTTTCTAATGACATGGTTACTATTTGCGTATATTTTCGCAAGATGACATCCTTGAATATTGACAAAAACGCTATTTTCAACGACTGTTTACTCATTGCGTGATCACTCGGAATCGATCGTGCGGAAAATAGCATTAGTTTAGCAGTGTAACGAATATTACTGAGGGTAAGTTTTTCTTAGACTGTTGTAATATCATATATCAATATCACATATGCGTTTCTCTTTTAGGAGAGTAAAAAAACTATACTTTCTGTGAAATCTGAAGACAATTCTCCGTAAAAGAGAATTCAATGTATGTCTTATACAGACTTACTCCAAACACGTATATATCAGGGTTGAGACTGCGATCTTCTAGAGATTCTTCCATTAGACATTTAGGGAAAATGGTACCTTATCCGATCATATGGCACCTTATCCGATGATATAAAAGTGGAAGTGAAGAAACTGAAACGAGCTGATCTTGTGATCTTTCAATTTCCGTTGCACTGGTTCAGTTTCCCCGCAATCTCTAACAATATCCTACTAGTAGAGATTGAAATCGGAGTCTCTACTGAATCTCCAAAGACACTTTATTTGCTGAACAATAATAATATGTATTTTATTCGGGTATAACACTAATCCAACGGATACATATGGGGCTAAAATTTACACGTTTTACACAACAAGTTACAATGAAGACCAATTGCATAAACAAAACTAATTGAGAAATTTACTAAACTTTATTTTGACACACGTCAGTTGTTGATGGGTGGCACTTTGTTGAACGTTTTATTCTTTGTTTTCTTACATCTACATCTGTTGGTTACACAGCTACCCTTACAAGAGTGTCTACCAGTGGAGACTCCGATTGCAATCTCTGGATCGGTACTTCTACTGGTAGAGATTGCGATTATATAGGTTATTCTATATAATCAGAGTTTCTACGAGTCGAGACTCCGATTGCAAGCTCTACCCTGACAAATGCACAACAAAGGAACTAAAGAAAATGTATTTCCTACTTACATTGCAGGTAGCGTCCAGGATGAAAGTTTCTTCAAATATCAAGTGGAAACGAAATCAGCATTTGAAAATGGCACCTTATCCGATGATATAAAAGTGGAAGTGGAGAAACTGAAACGGGCTGATCTTGTGATCTTCCAATTTCCTTTATACTGGTTCAGTTTCCCCGCAATCATGAAGGGCTGGATTGAACGAATCTTCGTCAGTGGCTTCGCCTACGGAATGGGGAAAATGTACAGTGATGGGCCTCTGAAAGTGAGAATGTGTTATATCTATGAGAAGTTATATCTATTTTAATGAACGACTGGTACTACATACAGAGGTTGGGTAGACAGATTTTGGGGAGAGAGAGAGTCAGAGCATCTTGTTTGCTCTGACACATTGCATTCTCTAAGCCGACCAAACCTTGTTGTATTCGCTCTAAATGCCGAGTCCCAGGCAGAGCAACAACAAGCACCTTCTTTTAATGTTAGATTGAATGAGTATTTAGACCATAAAGGCCCTGTGAAGGTGACGTGATACTGAGTGAACTGCCTTGTGTGTGAAGTTAGTGAGTGAGTTTCACGCCGTTTTTAGCAATATTCCAGCAATATCAAGACGGGGGACACCAGAAATGGGCTTCTCACATTGTACCCATGTGGGGAATCTAACCCAGGTCTTCGGCGTGACAAGCGAACGCTTTAACCATTCATCTACCCCATAGAGTTTCAGGGCAGTAAGTCATAGCACAGAATCCTCTGACTTATCGCTTTCTTTGTAGAATTATTTTCGTCTGTACTTTCAGATACCCGAACGTGTTTCTTGAATTAATAAACTCTGTAACCTACATCCAAATAGACTTATTCTTCGGCTTTGAGAGTGTATTTACTACTGTTGAACATTGCAGGGTAAACGAGGCATGTTGTCCTTTACAACCGGAGGGCCAGGGCCTGCCTTCCATCAAGATGGTTTGAACGGAGACATAAACGTCCTGCTGTGGCCCCTACAGGTGTGTAGTAGTAGTAGTTGAAGTAGTACAAATGTAGTAGTGCTTAATGATAGTAGTAGTAATAGTGGCAGTAGTAGTAGTTGTAGTAGTAGTAGTGGTAGTAGTAGTAGTAGTAGTAGTAGTAGTAGTAGTGGTAGTAGTAGTAGTGTGACAGTAGTAGTAGTGGTAGTAGTAGTAGTAGTGAGTAGTAGTAGTAGTAGTGGTAGTAAGTGAGTAGTGGTAGTAGTAGTGAGTAGTAGTAGGTAGTGGTAGTGATGAGCAGTAGTAGTGGTGGTGAGTAGTGGTAGTAGTGAGTAGTGGTAGTAGTAGTAGTGAGTGGTAGTAGTAGTGGCAGTGGTAGTAGTGGTAGTAGTAGTGGTAGTAGTAGTAGTAGTAGTAGTAGTAGTAGTGTGAGTGGTAGTAGTAGTGATAGTAGTAGTAGTAGTGGTAGTAGTAGTGGTAGTAGTAGTAGTAGTGGTGTAGTAGTAGTAGTAGTAGTAGTAGTAGTGGTAGTAGTAGTAGTGGTAGTGATAGTAGTAGTAGTGGTAGTAGTAGTAGTAGTAGTAGTAGTGGTAGTAGTAGTAGTGGTAGTAGTAGTAGTGATAGTAGTAGTGGTAGTAGTAGTAGTGTAGTAGTAGTAGTAGTAGTAGTAGTAGTGATAGTAGTAGTGATAGTAGTAGTAGTGGTAGTAGTAGTAGTGATAGTAGTAGTGGCATTAGTAGTAGTGGTAGTAGTAGTAGTAGTAGTAGTAGTAGTGGTAGTAGTAGTAGTAGTAGTAGTAGTGGTAGTAGTTGCGGTAGTGGTAGTAGTAGTGGTAGTGGTGGTAGTGGTAGTAATATATGTTTGTAATAGTGGTGTGGCATCAGTAGAAATAGTTGGTGGTTGTGGTTGTAGTAATGTAGGTGTATGTAAACAAACTTTAACATATTATTTTTGTCGCAGGGCGGTGCACTAAGGTTTGTTGGGCTTGATGTCCTCGCCCCCCAAATACACTATGCTCCTGCGCATGTCACTGACGATGACCGGAAGCAGTGGCTGGATGACTGGGCCAAACGTCTTCATAGCATATTCGAGGAACCGTTTCTCAAGTTTGTGGACAGTTCCAACTTTACAAACCTGAAACTGAGAGGCGAATATCATGAAGGCGAATCTTCGAAACAGTATGGCCCAACCGTAGGCCAAAACCTCGGCAAACCATTCTCACCGACTGGAATGCTGAAACCTTAGAGAAGCGTAAACGCAGCCACCACCATACACTGTGGATTCTCATGTTTCTCTTTTGGGGCTACTACTTATGAATGTATTGTATTATTTTACAAAATGAATCATTGATCATGAAACGATTATTACTATGAATTCAATGAACTTGTAATATATACAAACGTATTTGTTTGAAGGTCTTGTATTTTTCTTCACAAATCACAACATTTTGACAGCCTCCTTAGGGTAGTAGATAGAGGTTATGACTGAACAGCAGAAGGTCTGTGGTTCGACCCCCTGTCGTGTAGTGGAATGCCTCAGTCTGTAAATGGGGGCGGTGGGGTAGCCTAATGGTTAAAGCGTTGGCTCGTCACGCCGAAGACCCGGGTTCGAATCCCCACATGGGTACAACGTGTGAAGCCCATTTTTGGTGTCCCCCGCCGTGATGTTGCTGGAATATTGCTAAAAGCGGCGTAAAACCAAAGTCAGTCAGTCAGTCTGTAAATGGCATTTGAGTTTCAGATTCATGATTTTGTTGATTTGAAAATCGAACCGTATTTCGCCGTCATGATGTTTCTAACATGCCCAAATACTTTAAGGATAGCATGTCAACGATCGGTTGTTTTCGTCATTGCTAATAAATAAATGCGTTCACAATGCGCTAAACTCCATTCACTAGGTTAACATATTACTGTAAGCAAAGTTGAGATGTGGGACGCTTCCGTTAGATATAGAGCTTGGCAGGTTCCACCGCCCACCTACCCCTTTACAAGATAGTCTATGTAAAATGTGTGATGAGGGTCCTGTGGAAAACGAAATTGATTTTCTGGTCGTCTGTATAATGATATCCGTTCAGGGCTATGGAAGCAAGCTACAGATTTACACATTATTTCCCTTACTTAGCCTCACTGATAAAATGATTTATTTAATGCAAAATAATAAGCTCTGTAAATCTTTAGCCGCAACTGTATGTAAAATGGTACATCCTCGTCGTTGCACAAGAGTGTAAAGTATGTACCAATATTTAGTGTACTAACTCTTACAATACCAGAACGAATGTACAGTGGTTATTCTAACCTGAAATTTAATTATGAATCTGTGCAATCTATAGGCATATTTTATTAATATTTGTGTGTGTTAAAATGTGCATGTACGGGTGAATGAATCCGTATGGGGTGATGATCCGCGCGTGAAGGAATTTGGGGGTTGTGATGTACATGCGTGCGTGTTGGTGAAAAAAAAGTGCTATTTATGTTGTATGTATATCCTTTGTGTTAAATTTGTAATATCGTTTCTCGTAGGTCTGAGGGCCGGATGCTGGTTGTTATATACATTTTAATGATTATATTAGCATGTGACACGTAAATAAAATATATTTCTTCTTCTTCTTCTTCTTCTTCTTCTTCTTCACTAATCCTTTTACGGACCCATCGCTACCAGGTTGTAGGGAAAAAATCAGTATTGATAATGTATTTATTCAACAAGTTATAACAATATTACCATCAATAGCACTACATGAACTTCTCTGAACGACATTTGAACCTAACTTATAAAATTAATGTATGTATTTAAGTATAATATATACAAGTATAACTAACTGGAGAAGGACGTATTTATAACAGTTGTTGAATGAATTTTTGCAAATAAGGATATTTTTATTACTTAGGATTACTTGAAGATGAAAGTGAAATAGTATTTATAAAATACAGTATAAACAAAGTAAATGGAGAACGGGACGTTTTATAATAGTTGTTTTTCCATGACTTTTTTTCCTATGATCTATTTTCCGATCCCTTCTTGGTGGCTATTTCTAGATTGAGTGTATTTCTGACAACCTTGCGGGGCTTGTTGTGGAGATTGTATGTGCGCTTCCAAAGGTTTTAGGAAATGTAATTATAAATCGCTACAAGTTTCAAAACAATATTTTATCTGTATGTAACTGTGATGTCTTTTAGCGGCATTAAGAAGTTGTATATAGATGTCCAAGATTTTTTTATGGATTAAACTTCTTTTTTATTTCCCTCACAACATTACAGATGCCTTCATCAGGTGAACTGACAGTTGAGACAATGACATCGTCACTATAACGCAGTTATGGCATCATAGTGATGACGTCATAGTCTCAACTGTCAGTTCACCTGTAGACTAATGCTTAGTCTCTGAATATATATAATTTTGATAGTAACAAACAAGCCCATTTAAATTTAAAAGGAGCCCTAGGGAGACCAGAGATTCAGAACCTGAGGAAATCTAGACTTGCTTTATTTAGGGCTTCAGCACTGCAGAGAGGGCTTGGCAGTAGGGAAAATAATGTGGTTCAGGGACTGTAGACAGACTAGTTCACCTGATGAAGGGATATGCAATGGCCCCGAAACGTTGTGAGGGAAATAAAAAAGTTTAATCCATAAACATATCTTGGACATGTATGTAACTAATCAACTTTAATCTTTAACACTGGGCTTATATGTCATATCTCTGGGGATATTTTAGTCTGACTTTTGTTTGGTCATTCGTTTTTTTCTTCAGCGAATTCATTTAAAATTCCACCAGGGGTATGACAGCAAGGTTACACGAATGTTCAGTTTGAGAAATATTTTAATGTCATTGTTTAGTATCTGCTTTTGGTTTTAATGTAGCTGAATAAAATATTATTTTATTTGTATATTCAATAAAACAGTTCCCATTTGTGATTATTAAACCCTATTTAGAAATATAATTGGAAATATAAGGTGATCAGCTGGTAATAATTACATTAGAATGCGTCTTTAACAAATATGTTTCTCCTTCTTATAGTTGTATCAAAGAGGTTTAATTCTTTAAAATAAATAAGTAAAACAAAACAACCGGTCGCCTGTCAGGCGGTCAAGGTTCAAATTCAGACTACCATCGTATCATACCAGGTACCCATTTACTGCTGGGTGGACAGAGGCAATTTTGAACAAACTCACTTGCCTAAAGTGAGACCGAATGTATCACATGCGCTTCGTTGTGGGGTAGGACTGAAGTCCTAGAAACTTTCAGGAGTCAAGCTGCCAAACACGGTCACCCATCCGAGGACTGTCCGCGACCAACGTTGTTTAACTTCAACTGATTGTGACCTGAGCTCTACGCACAGGACCACACACCGCCACAAAATATCGCTTTGTCATGGTGAAATGACATCGTGTACAATGTTATGACGTCACGCCTTTTAAATACAATGATGACGGGGAGACTATATTTGTTGGAAAGTAGATTATCGCGTAATTTCCTCAATTAAAGACTTCGGTAATAAATAGAAAATTATATTCGTGACCATATCCCTTGGTCTGGTTCAGAAAATGCCAAGGTATAGGCAGTTGTGTCGTAAACATGATAAGACACGGGCTCTCATATTTAGCTTCTATGAAGTCGGCTATATTCCAACCATGAGAAATGTCGTCAAATAATGTCTTATAATAGTTACCAACGTCCTAATAGTGTCCATAGATTTTAGAATCAATAATAAAATGCGCAACCTCACGACTTGTTTGATAAATGACAAAGGTTCATTCAACCGAATTAAAAGGTTTTCAGGCTTGAAGGACGAAGCTCATTATAAAATGTATCGCCAGCTAAAAGGTTCGAAATTGTGGTCATGTTAGATATAACCGTTAGAACAATGAATAAATTTCCAGGTAAATCATTGATACATGTATATACAAGGATCACAAATGGACCAAGGACAGATCCTCGAGGAACCCCTGCAGTAACATTTAGTTCTTTTGATAATGTACCATTAATAGATACATTAATGGTAGAATGTAGAATAAATGTTACGAAAATTTTAACAATAACGACGGCAGATACGAAAAGTAATCTCCAAAAGTTTAATGGTAAAATTAGGCAATATGATATTTCTTTTTAATTTCTGCGTATTCTTGTTCCTTCACTCCATTGAACCTCAAGCCAGCAGGGGTAATGGAGGCGAAGAACGATATGACATGCCACGAGTGGCGCTTAAAATGTTGAATTAAATATATTGTACGTGAGTAATTATTAAATATGAGGTTGGAAATCTGAGAGCACAATCCTGTGAGGAAATGGGTGTCTAACTTTGATGATGGCAATATTTAATTTTGATATTAAAAATATTTTTCGAACCGAAGCGAGGGAAGTACGTTGTTAACCTTTGCTCGCTTCGCTCGCTTGTAGAAAGACTGGTCATATTTATCATTATTGCGCAACCCTATTTGCGCTACAGTTTGGCTGTGGCCTACTTGACAAAGACCCAGTTCTGACGTCAACATTCGAATTCGCTTTGCCCAACCTTGCCGAATGTAAACAGAAACACGGCACAGTCTATTGTATAATATAGGGATGATTTGCATTACCAAGTGCATTATCCATGATGTGGTCTGATGTCAGTGAGTGGATGATTCAGTATGGATTCTAGGCCGGATATTTTAGTCTGACTTTTGTTTGGTCATTCGTTTTTTTTTCTTCAGCGAATTCATTTAAAATTCCACCAGGGGTATGACAGCAAGGTTACACGAATGTTCAGTTTGAGAAATATTTTAATGTCATTGTTTAGTATCTGCTTTTTGGTTTTAATGTAGCTGAATAAAATATTATTTTATTTGTATATTCAATAAAACAGTTCCCATTTGTGATTATTAAACCCTATTTAGAAATATAATTGGAAATATAAGGTGATCAGCTGGTAATAATTACATTAGAATGCGTCTTTAACAAATATGTTTCTCCTTCTTTTAGTTGTATCAAAGAGGTTTAATTCTTTAAAATAAATAAGTAAAACCAAAAACAGCAATACAGTGTACGCATGCTTCGGTGATATTAAGAAAAATTGGAATCAAACAGGGATATAGTTATCGTTCCTGTTAAAGTAGTTCTGATGTTATGCGCCAATATGAAATCCTTCCAGAGGGACACGAGTCGCTATTCGGCTTGTCCCTGAATAACACGAGTGGGTCACGAATGCCACGTTGACAGCACCTATGTAGTAGTGGTGGTCCGATTAATTGAAATAATCGAAGATTGGTCGCAGTGACTAAACGACCAAGCAATCGAACATGTTTTCTCATAATCGAACACGACCAATCTTTGAACACTTGTTTGCATTAACAATATTTTTCACAAGGCTGGTTTTGTCTGTGTCATTAAATTTACATTTCATAAGCACTACATGTACAAGCTCGTTCCAAGTCATGATTGAATTTATCTTTAAGAATCCAGGAAATATGTGTTCCTAACATACTAATTATCATTTAAATATGCAAAATTTGCAAATGGACTTTATGCAATTTGCAAAAAACCAAACAAATTACTACATGTTTTTTCTTTATTTTTGTGTGCATTAACTCAAATAACGGGAACATTTGATAAATGACGCTAACCAATTATTTTCGATGAGTGATCGGTTGTAATGGACCAATCATCAATTATTAGATTTTAACCAATTCCCAACACTACTATGAAGGGGCTATGTTACGACGTTAATTGTAATAAAAATGTAAATTGTAATACTTGCAGCAAATTGTTATAACCCTTGACTATTGATGGGGTTTCCCCTACACCAGTTGATTGGGGAACTTGTGCTTATTTTGAGTTCACAGCGAAAAGTGTATTGTTTTGCACATTTTAAGTGCGAAAACACAAGAAAGAATAACTATATTCTGCTTAAAAGTAGTACCAAAATGTGTGGGAGTATCGTCTAACGCCAGTCGAATTCAGTGATCTTCGGGTAATGTTCAAGGTCACAGCGAGTGTTCCGGGTAAAAATATCGCTTTGTCATGGTGAAATGACATCATGTACAATGTTATGACGTCACGTTGCTTCTAAGAAGCCGCCTTCTAAATACAATGATGATGGGGAGACTATATTTGTTGGAAAGTAGATTATCGCGTAATTTCCTCAATTAAGGACTTCGGTAATAAATAGAAAATTATATTCGTGACCATATCCCTTGGTCTGGTTCAGAAAATACCAAGGTATAGGCAGTTGTGTCGTAAACATGATAAGACAAGGGTTCTCATATTTAGCTTCTATGAAGTCGGCTATATTCCAACCATGAGAAATGTCGTCAGATAATGTCTTATAATATTTACCAACGTCCCAGTAGTGTCCATAGATTTTAGAATCAATAATAAAAATGCGCTACCTCACGACTTGTTTGATAAATGACAAAGGTTCATTCAACCGAATTAATAGGTTTTCAGGCTTGAAGGACGAAGCTCATTATAAAATGCATCGCCAGCTAAAAAGGTTCGAAAATGTGGTCATGTTAGATATAACCGTTAGAACAATGAATGACACAATGTTACAATCAATTTATGGACTTGACAAAAACATTTTCATTTATAGTTTGTGGCAGACTAAGGCTGCCGTACAGAATGGTGTTAATACCTGAGCTAGCTTTTAGGATTTCAAAGCCATGTATCAAATCGAGATCAACAACATGAGCATCGATCTTCGTAATTGGGAACCGATGACGTGTCAACCAAGTCAGCGAGCCTGACCACCCGTTCCCGTTAGCCGCCTCTTACGACAAGCATGGGTTACTGAAGACCAATTCTAACCCGGATCTTCACGGGTCAGTAGTAGTACAAATAGTTATAATGGTAGTGGTTAGATCATCTCTTGCCTTACAGAAGAGGAAGGGAGAGAGAGATAAATAGTTTATTGATGTGTCACGCCATTTTAGTATGTACAATGTACAAACACGGTATAAGAGTAAACACATAGTACAGGTTTAAAACAAGATAGTAGCATAAAATGAATACACAGGGTATAGAGCATAGAATTACAAAGGGCTGTAAAGGTAAAATAATCGTACATAAAACGTCCTTCCTTTAAACATTTGAAGAAGGGTAAAAGCTAAAAAGTGGTTGTAAATGGTTATGGTTAAGAATATATATAAGTTTAGAACCACTGTCCATATAGATGAAACCTGGGATGTAACGTTCAATCCCTGAATATAACTTGTATCTCAAATCTATGGAACCCTAGAAGGAACATTGTCGCGTTGTCGCATTGTTGCACTTTGTTAATTTTGCCTCTTTTTGCTAGTTTTTGACAGGGCAACACTGTCCCTTCTAGGATTCCATACAAATCCGAGTAGATGTGACAATCAATAAGAAAAGTGGCTTTCATCTTCTATTGCGTGTCTTGTTTCTGCACAAAACTGGCATATTCTGTCGTTCAGTGGGATAGGAGGCTTGGAGTATCTTCCTGTCGCAATAGCTAAGGGGAGGTTACCACATCTGAACTTAAATAAAATTCGTCGTTGATCTCGAAGTGTTCGCTCGTCACGCCGAAGGCCCGGGTTCGATTCCCCACATGGGTTCAATGTGTGAAGCCCATTTCTGGTGTCCCCCGCCGTGATATTGCTGGAATATTGCTAAAAGCGGCGTAAAACTAAACTCGTTCACTCACTCACTCGTTGATCTCGATATTTGACTGTCTGAACGTTCTATAGGTTCAGAGATTGTTCCCGTTTGATTTGTTGTGGTCGTTCCATAGTTCACGTGTCCAGTCGTTGACGTCGCATTGAATAAAAATGTCCTTAAAAGCATTTATTTTCCTCTTACTTGAAATATCTGCGTCAGGTATATGTGATGGGTGAAAGGGAAAGTGACATGGTTGAGACTGTGAGACAGTCTATGGGTGACCCAGGATGATTAAAACCCCGGCAGTGCACTTAACATGTTGTGTACACAGTGTAGGGGCACGTCGAGAACGTGGCGTCCTGCATGTTATCAACACAGTCATGTGTGTGGACATTCGCGCTGTAATGCAGATTTTGCACAAACCGTGACTCTGCAAATTGTTGACTTGATAACCGCGTGTCACAACCCAGAGACAGTCCCTGGAAAACCGCTTATGTGAGTACGTATACTGCTCATTGTAAAATAGTAGTAGTAGTAGTAGTAGTAGTAGTAGTAGTAGTATCAGTAGTAGTAGTAGCAGTAATGATAGTAGTAGTAGCGGTAGTAGTAGGAGCAGCAGTAGTAGTAGTAGTACAAACAGGCATAATGGTAGTGGTATTTTATACAGGTAGGTCATCTTCAGATCTGACCGTTCTAAAATATATTTTAACCGATTGGTTGAGGTTTTCGTTGTGTTGTATTCCCGTTCAGAATTGTCCGTCAGAATTGAGAATTCATCGCAGAATTAGTTACATTCATGCATATAGTTCAGACCTCTGTCACCTTAATACCTAGTTAAGGACAGCACAGGTGTGAAGCTGACAAACCGAGAATCATTAATCACGGCGAATGTGGGATTCGAACCACCTACAATCTCTATAAACGAGTTTCGAATCCTTTGAGGATAGGTGTTCGTGGAAATAGTTGTAGTAGCAGTAGTATTGCTGATACACCGTGAGTCACAAGCGAGAAACAGCACAGGAAGCTCCTACCGTAAGTAGTTGCACTGCTCACTGTTAAATAGAGGAGGTTTGGGCATAAGTAGTAATAGTGGTAGCAGAAGAAGTGGTGGTGGTAGTAGTAGTAAAAGTGTTAGCAGTAGTAGCAGTAGCGGTAATAGTAGTAGCAGCAGTAGTATAGTAGTAGTAGCAGCAGCAGCAGCAACAACAGTAGTAGTAGCATGAGCAACAGGAGTAGTTGTGGTAGTAGTAGTAGTAGCAGTAGTTGTAGTAGCAGCAGTAGCGTAGTAGTAGCAGCAGTAGTAGTAGTAGCAGCAGCAACAACAGTAGTAGTAGCATGAGCAGTAGCAGTAGTTGTGGTAGTAGCAGCAGCAGTAGTTGTGGTAGTAGCAGTATGTAATATATAAGTGGTTATTAAGCAGGCGACGAGGAAGGTGTGGTCAGGCTCGCGATCGGAAACGTGGCCGATATCATCGTTGGCTGATATCACATTTATCACTGGATTGTCTGGTCCAGACATGCACGTGCATAAACACTTACCAAAGAACGAACAGCCTCGTCAGGAAAGCAATGGGTGACTTCTAACCTTGGGCAATAGGGGAACCACGTCATGCAGCATATGCATATCAGAGTCACGAGTGGCCAAAATCGTCAGTAATCCAACGACACTGGGTTCGAATCCCAGATTCGCACCTGTTATGACTCTTGTTTTCTCAGCACCATACACATGAACGTGGCTATCATCAGAATGATAAATACCTTGTACCTCCTTTAAATATCCCTTTCCTCCCTTTAAATGTATTATTCTTCAAAGCGGTTGTAAACCCTATCAACCCTTATTTATATATATATATATATAACCGAATGATTTCTCTTCAGCCAAGAATTCTGACATCATCCCACAATGGCCAAGAACCTAAACCAGTCGTTCGAGTCGGGCCGCGTCTACAGCAAGCAGCAAAAAAAAACGTGCTGATTGTGTACGCCCACCAGGAACCCAAGTCATTTAATAACGCCCTCTTGCGGAAGGCAGTGGAGACTCTGGAAGCAGACGGCCACAGCGTTGAGGTGTCCGATCTGTACGCCATGCACTTTAACCCAATATGTGGAAGGACGGACATCGTCGGTCAGTATTGTATGAACCCGTGAAGATCCGGGTTAGAATTGATCTTCAGCAGCCCATGTTTGTCGTAAGAGACGACTAACGGGACCGGGTGGTCAGGCTGGCTGACTTGGTTGACACAAGACATTGCATCCCAAATGCGTAGATTGATGCTCATGCTGTTGATCATTGGATTGTCGTGGCCAGCTCGACTATTTACAGACCGCCATATATATAGCTGGAATACTGCTTAGTACGATGTTAACCAACCAGCCAACCAGTATCGTATAATGATTACACATATGTTTCAAACTCGTAGGGGATTCTGGATAGGACTAATAATATGTCCAGCAATAATATATGATTAATATTCAACAATTTTGACGGCTTAGTGCTGGTTTCAGGGATAAAGAAGGGTGCACCAGAAATTAGCTTCACATATCGAAAATATGTCCATGTGGGTAACGAACCCGGACCTTTGCCGTGACGTGCAAACGCCTTTACCACGAGGGCACCTTACTGTTCCAACTGTTAGACACTTCAGGGTCTCTTTAAGAATAGTTCTTGATCAAAGAATCCAAACCCAACACGTACATTCCACAGTCCAATCAGGGATTATGATAGGGCATGACCATGAACGTGTATGTATGTTCGTTGTTCAATGTCTTACAACATCAAATGGAATGGATGATCTCTAACAAGTCTATATGTAATATCAAGATTTACCAAACCATTCCACCTAATCCTTTTAGCACAGGCCCCCACTGCGGGTCAGAAAATCGATAAACTAGGCCCCGGTTTAGTATCAACACCCCCTTCTATATAATACATAAAGGTTCATCACAGAAATACGGTGACATGATTGAAAACCGGACAATTACGCACATGTCAATGAATATATCGTATTTTAAAGGTCTCACAAGTATCAAAAGCTTTTGTCCATATCTCCGATGTATGTAGGAGGCATATACATGGGCTTTCTGTGGGGATGCATTTGATGTTTTTTATTAAATCGCCAAAGACCGAGTTGCTGTGCCGGAAGTATACAAAACTAGCTCGTCAGCGCTTGACTTCACTACCTCCGGCGTTCTGATTGGCTAACACATTACACTTAATGAATGTGTTTCTTTAAAAAATATTTGTACTCGTTTTTAAAATTATTCTTACCAACATAAAACATCAGATAGTGACATCTTGGATGATAGACGTTTGAGTTTTCCTCTCATTTTCGCACGTGCATTTGTTGTCATTTTATTAACCAATTTGATTGCGCTGACGACCTAGTTTTGTACACTTCCGGCACAGCAACTCGGTCTTTGGCGTTAGATGGCCGACATTGTGTAATGGTTGTGTATGTAAAACGGCACGTAATGTCAGACTGGCTGTCTACATGATTATGACCCACTTCTGACTTCAGTCAGCATTCGAATACACCTTGCCCAACCTTGCCGAACGTTCTAAGAAACGCCGCAGCTTGGCACAGTCCATTGCATTATACAGGGGTGATTTGCTGCGAGTCACTCAGTCCTATGCATTATTATTATTGATAATAATGCTAATTTTGGCGCCTAGGATCCAACACAATGCTGCTCTCTGACGTTACATTATTACCCTGACGGAATTGTACTTTCAAAGCCGCAATTAAGCGCTTCGCGCGACCGTGTAGGTTCGTACATCCGCTTCTCAGGTACCCATTTTAAACAGCTGGGTGGACTAAGTGCAATGTTGACGAAGTGCCTTGCCCAGGGACACAACACAGTATGAGACCCAGGTCACAAATGTTTGGTGTTTCCACTGGGATTCGAACCCGGGCCTTTGGCGTGAGAGGCCAGCATTCTAACCACTACACCACTGTGCTCCACATTACCAAGGGAATTATCTCATGTCAACGAGTGGGTGATTCAGCTGGATTGAAGGTCGCTTTGAACACTATTGCCAGTCTTATCATTGAGTGTAAATGTCTACAGCACTTCGTAAACAATTGAAATTGTTGAAATATTTTAACAGACATAACAATGCAATACACAGTAACTAATAATTTTTGTTCACCAAGTGATCACCAAATGAACCCTCCTTTATGAGAAACCTAGGTAACAAGGTATGATAAGGGTGTTTTTGGCCCACAAACAGAATTGGCTTAACACATGTAATTTGTTTAGAGACAGGATAGCTTTCCATAAAAAGTTATTTTTTAAATGATCTGAGGCCGTAATGTCAATGCAGAGGGGCCCAAAACGGGTTTTATCAGTTCCCATGAAGAATAACAAGAAGTCTGAAATATCAGTGTGCCATAATGACTTATTTACAACCACGAGTTTATTAACATACAAATAACATCAGTTTTACAACAGGTATTCATGATGAAGAAACATGTCAATATCAATCACAAGGTTTTAACTTCAAGGGGCCCAATTAGGGTTGCAATACATTGTGGACAGTAATTCAATTACTTGCCAATTGTTTACAAAAAAACTCATTATTCACAGCTTTCTTTGCAAATATAAACTATAAGTCAATTTTACAACATGTACTTCTGATAACCAATCATGTCGCACTAAAAATCACAGGGGCCCATTTTGGGTCTAATTACATTTGGGGCACAGCTTGATTTTAACAAGTAAGTGTTAAAAGTCAGTATTCACAACCAGTTTAAGCAAATATACAGTAAACATCTCATTCACAACATGTTATTACAATAACCAATCATGTTGCACTAAATTTCACAGGTCTTGACCTCAAAGGGGCCCATTTCGGGTGAAATTAGATTCTTGGCACAGCTTGATTTTAACACCAAGTAAGTGTTAAAAGTCAGTATTCAAAAATCTTCAGAAAGTAATTATTCACAACTCATTCACTGCAAAGATATAAAACATCCACTTTCACTCTTCATCCACATGGTCATCAATTGCAGTTTCTGAATCACTGTCAAGAACTGCAGCAGTCAACAGTGTATCACTAGGCATCTGGTCTTGGTGTATGCCATACCCAGATCTTCTCAACTGAAAAACAGATGACTTTATATCAATAGAAAAGTCTGTTCTAAAAACTTTGATAATCTATTCAAGAGTGACATGACTTATTTTCAAATGTCATTAGTCTGGCTTTGAAGGCTTTTGCAGATTTAATCACCCCTGAGGCATCAGTATTTCAGTATCAGTCATATAAAATTAGAAAATTGAAAAAAAAATAATATTGATTATTTTTTAACACACATATTATGCTTACCTTCAACCTCAAGTTTGAAGTTTTCATCTTCATGAAATGACACTCCTGAAATCAGTCCAAGCAATTTTCTCTTATCTGAAAACAAATATTTGAAATTATATAAGAATTATCACTATGTTCAAGAAATTGGTGCTTTCTAGTTTTTCTAATGCTAAACATGTCAATAGTAT